GCAAGCCTGGTATTTGTATCAGTGGAGTATTTCCCTGACGGTGAGTTGCTGAAGTAGCCTGTTTGCTAAATTGCACACATTGGTAATGCTTGCCCTTTCTGTACGGGACACTTCTGTGAATCCTCCACAGTATCTCCAAGAGCAATGGTTAGTGGCCCATTTTTATAACTGGGAAGGCTGAGTTAGTGTAGTTTGCCCAAAGCTGTAGCAGTGTGTTGCAGCTGGCATGAGAAATTAAAATTCTGGCTCTGTAGAAGTGCCTGGGAGTTTTGCCATTGGCTCAAATGGAGGATTTTGCCCAAGAAATTTGCTAGGTCCTACTGTTTGGATCACTGCTAATACCTTCCAGAGAAGCTCTGCCAGAACATACTTAATTTATGAAATTGCTTAGTGTTCTTCTGTTGAGCTGCAATTTTAATCTGTCGAGCAGTGACATTGTTTAATTGTCTCTTGTATGGGTTGCTTGGTATGACGAGCTCTCCTGTAGAAAAATGGTTCTCGACTGGGTGATGAATGACATCCCAATTGCTAATTCCTCTTGAGGCTTTGGAGTGAACCTGATGATGTGGGAGCAGAACTCCAGGTGACCCGTGGTATCATCTATACCACGTATCAGGGTATTGGGAAGCTTATAGCCTCTCTGCAGGAATTAACAAACGTGCTGGATAGGTTGTGAAGTTACAGGTTGTGACTGCCACTTTTAACAGGCTCTGAAGAGTATTTTTTACCAAAGTAAATATATGGCTCCTGTGCCGCCTCCTGCCCTCTGACAGAGGGTTGATCTTCTTTTAGCTAGAATCACATTCTTAAGCTGAGTTCTAACTCCAAACCTCTTGAAATGGTAACTTCTTTTGGTCAGTCCCCAGCAAGGGTGAAAGACGATCAGTGTTTGCCTTCTCTTGTTATCAGGTACATTAAATGAATAGTTTAAATAATCTAATTACCTGTTTGATTAAATCACTGGGACTTCAAACAATCCCATGTGGTTTCCTACTGAATTTATGGTTTTTCTGGCAGAGCTCAAGCTACATGGATTTGTGTGCACATCAGGAAAACTCTCCATAGTCATATAAATGAGATTCAGAGTAAAATATATAGAGAGAGTCTGGA